TCACATAATCATATGGATAACATTACTCGTACCTTGGTATTCTAACTTCCTCTTAAAATAATTTATATTTATCTCGTTACAGCATGTGGTAAATTTGAATGTAAATACACACATTAAATTATGTACTAGAACAATTTTTCGTCAAAAATTGATCTAAAAATAAAATACACCCGAAATAAACTTAAATAAATGGCATCATCAGAAAGATATAGGACGGCAAATATTTCCAGAGTCCATCATATATCTGCATACCTTGAACCTCGCTGTAAAGCTAAGCCCTATGATGTGAATGATGAAAAGATCGGGAACTCCTTAATCAAGTTCTAGAAACTATCAAAATATTTTATTTTTACACAAAAAAGAAGAGTTCATTTCTTTGATTCCCAGTTTCTTTTTCAAGTAATATAATATAATTCGTTAATCCATTCGGCCTATTTGCTAATACTAGTGCTTCGGTAAGTAACTAAGACTTATTCGGCTGATTAACCTAAATTAATGTGCCTCAAATCTTAAACTTCATATAATACGGTCACACTCATTTTTATTATAGAATTATTTATATCTAAAGAATACATTTAAAATCATTTTAAGATTGATCTCCTTTTAATTCTTGATTACTTACAATTAATTATCCTTATCATCTAAAGCTATTCTTTTTTTTGCCTTTGGCTACTTCGAATTTAGTGGGATCAAAAAAACTACTAACAATTTTAATCTCGTTAAGTCCTTCGAAAAATGAGTCAAAGCTCAAAGCAGGTCTTCTCGAATAACACTCAACTTATCATATATACATTGAAATATATTATATTTTAAGGTCCCCATCAATAGGTTATCAATCGAGCTTTCATAATGTGGTGAAGTTTTGTCTTAATCAATATATTACACTACTAAGAACAAATAATATTTTTCATAAAATTTAGTTGACCTTTTTCTTAAAGACGGGAGCCGAATCCAGCATGCCTTTTTTGTTTGGCGTTTTTCTAGAATATTTTTGTACCCTCATCAGACAGTCTCAAAATTTGCTTGCACCATAAAATATTACTTGTTCCTAGTACTCTTGATTAATTTAAAATTTAAACTGAGCTCATCATAGATGAAAAGAAAATCTTTTGGAACAATATTGGTCCTAGAAAATCAGCATCTTCCTTTTCTTTAATTTACCTATCTCTATTTCTGCCCAACCTCTTTTATGTCGGAATGAACCTTTGGTTTGTAATGAGATAATAAATCTATCCATTTATATCGCAAGGTTCCAAACATTTTGCGGCTCGAATCAACAACTCTAAATTATAGTAAATAGCCAAAAATATAAAAAAACCCTCTGAATTGTGTTCTCAAAGAAATTATTTTTGTTTTTAAAATAAATAGTTTGCTGTGTACGGCTAAAAAGTAAATTTGAATTGTAATGTTTATAGAATATCTTTCTGTTTAATTCCTGTTTAGTTTGATGTTTTATTTGAATATTATCTGATATTTATTCGCCATTTGTGAGCAAGTTGCAGATGGCTCTTAAATGAATTCAAAATATCTTAAGTAATATATCTGCATTATCTAAGCTTGAGATAAAAGTCGTAAGGTTTTAAATACTTTGTTTTATTATAATATTTTTATATCTTTGAATTTTCTAATAAATTAAATGCGATTTTCTGTCACAAATCTGTATAATCTTTAGGCTTAGAGTTTATAAGAGCTTCTTCTTAGGGCCGTAAACTTATCATATATATCATATCATTTTTATTAATGGGCTTATGTAATTTATTTCAGTAAATAGCTAAATTTTATGCTCATGAATGATAAAAGAAGTGATTTATAAATTCCAATTGTGACCTCAATTGGATTTCATCATCACTCACTAAAGAATTCAAACACGGATCATGCCTTTAAAGTCATTTATTTTAAGATCATATTTTTATTTTATCATGTATCTTTCAATTTATTTTGACTTTCAGTTTTTTTAGCATACAAATTATTCAACTACTTGACGCAGAGAGTCCTTTAGGATAGAATAAAATGCATTTATAAGATATCCACTCAAAAAAATTTGTTTACAGCCTTAATTATTTATATATTTTTGACTTAAAATCTTATCAAAGCCATCTTTTTTTAGAAGCTTATGTTGTATTCCGGAGGGGGATTGTCGATAAGAGCAAAGGGCATTTTATTCATATTCTAGTTTAAATAGGAAATAACACAAAAAAGAATGTAGTCCGAAATTGAAACACAAATGAAAGCCTTGTAGTACCAACCGAACGAAGCTAAATAAGTTCTCTTAAGGGAATTCACTAGATGGTTTCAGAAGCTCTCTCTCTCTCTCAATACATCTTCGGTTTCTTTCATAAACTAAGTAAGTATGCCTTGATACTTATAATAAAATGCAAGTGCTTTATTCTATTAAGGGACATTGGTCTCGTTATCCTACATTTCCAATTATTAGCTCTATTTTGTTTTAAGTTATCAGTAGTACATAACAATTAGATGTCATTCGCATCAAAGGGCCAATTTTATGAACAGAATAGATGAACTATCAGGCTAAATATTAATACCTTATTATATCTCCCATCAAAATATGATCTTATAATTTTTCACCAATTTTGGATCTTATATTTCATCCAGCTTCTATTGTTGTATGATTTAAAAAGCCTAAATTAATTTAAATTATATCAAAAAATATTAGATTATATATAAAAATATAAATATATAAATAAAGTATAAGTCATCAAATACCACAAAATCATTTAATATTTTTTATATAATTAAAATCAGTTTAGGCTTTTTTAATCATAAAACAATAGAAGCTGGATGAAATCTAAGATCCAAAATTGGTGAAATATATTACGATCATATTTTGATGAGAGAGATATATATGTATATATATAGCTATATGGAAAAGTCCTATACTTTCTTCATTATCATTTGTCTCTGACGTATATTTTCCTCATTAATCTATATCCGCTTCATATTTTCCGAAACAATGAGTATATTTTCGGCACCCTAGTACTTTTCTACTGACGATACCAACAGACTATTTTCAGACTGTCTCCACGAGATGAGATGATCCTTTCATCACCTGTACACTGCCAAACAATTTTCGGTGGCCATAAAGAGTGCCATACTTTAAATGAGGATAGGTTATAATTGCCTCTAAAGAAGTTATAGCAATTATTATTAATTAAGTTATACCAAAAGTAGTCTTCTACTAGAGGTAATTCAGTGAAAGGAAAGAGATTTCAATGAAACTCATGCTAAATAGTTAATTAATTGCATTTCATTTCGTGGAAATATAAGCTAACAAACATCGGAACATCAAGCGAATGTAGTAATCATATTTCAATAAAAATAGGCAAATTTCTTCCGGGCCCTTCGTGACTCTGACTAGGCATGTTAATAATGCAACGTAATGATGGAGGTTAAAGTGAATTATTAGAAAAGTTTCATTGTAGATGTAAGACTTTATGCTTCGACGGCTTTTGATGAAATTGGACATTGAATCTCTACACCCGTTAGTTGTTAGAAAACTTAATTCAAATTTAATGAATCTAAACTATCCACGGAACACATTTATTTCACCACCAGCAGCACTTTAATTTGGTCTGTCAGAGCTCTAATACCATAATTTATTAGGCCTTTTGGATGCTATACATTAAAGCTACTAATTTGATGAAGGAAAAGAATTATTAATCACGTATAGTGACAAGACCATGGCATTTATTGATGGGATCATACTGTAAATCTTATTACCACGGAACATTTTTGCAGAACCTTTTTTTGGCATAATGTAAAAAAAATTTTGATAAAAAATTGTTAACTTATATTATTTTAAGCTAAATGTAGAGCTATAAAAAAATGTTATTTAATGTTACTTCTCAGTAGCTATAGTTATTATGTTGTGAAATGTTGACATATTTAAAACGCATTTATTTACACAATCATCAAACAATAATCTTTTTAAAATGCTTTTTAATGTACATGCTCAGAATATTAATAAGATGCATATTCACTATAGCTTGCATAAATTAATAAATGTGGAATAGTCCAACTGCATTTCGTAAGCTATTCTGCCCCAGTCTGGGCTGAAATTTCGACCTCGTCTTGGTCTCATAAACATAACCAAAGAGAATGTAGCCGTTACAATGCAGAGTCTATTTGCGACATGGTACCGATACTCCAGTTTCCAAAAAATGCCCCCGGGTCACGGGAAAAACTTGAAATTAACTCAGCAATTCACTTCGTGTTTGCAGAAGCGATGAGGCTCTTTAGAAGAAATTGCATTCTATCGACAGGTCCACTCATAAAATTGTGGAAAAATTCACTCATTGGTCCTTGGTCCCCTTTTATTTAAGACCTACTATTAGAAAGATTATTAATATGATTATTGTGTTTATTTTAATTTTTAAGCTGAGAATTAAAGTTTTAAGGATTGTAATTGGCATTTAGTGGTGAAAGTATGTCATAATTTGTATTGTTAAAAATCTAACATTTCAAAGAAAGTGCCAGACACGAAATGTTTAAAACGTTAAAAATACGATTAATATAGAAAAGCATTTTTTTAAAAACGAAAATATTACCTCAAATCTCTCTATCAGACTGACGGATTACGTGTATTTAATGCGTGTCTGTGATGTTTATGTGAATATTTCCAAATCCGGCAGCACTTCTACTCGCCTTAAGCTTTTCGATGCTACAAAATTGAGTAAAAGTCTCCGGGAAAAAGGAAAAAGGGATTTTTCTAAATAGATTCTTTTTCACGGACTTGCTCTGTTTACGATAATTGTGTAGAGCTTAGAAATATAACCTTTGCAAAGTTAATTTTTATTCGAGTATCTCTAGAATTATGCAAGATTTTGGCTAAATTACGTTCTAAAATGACAAAGACGAGATATTAAATACATCTTGGACTAATTTGGCCAATGGATTAAGGGGATATTTTCTTGATTTTTGCCCATTTTTTCTCGTACATGGCCAATAAAAATACCAATTGTATGTGAAACATTTAGTCTGTATCACTTACTGAAGACCCGTAGCCGAACTCGCATGAAGGCCATCATCTCCTGTTGCGTGTACGGATTGATCGAGGAGACTTGACATGTGTAGACTCCGGCATCGGACCATCGAAGTCGGTCAATCACATGCGTCTTACTGTGACCGATGAGGCGACCTCGTCTGTCCAGCCATGCATACCTCATGTGGGGATATACCAAAATGCCGGGCAGTTCTGGCAATCGAATGGTACAGTTGAGCATTTCCGGACTTCCCAGACGACCGGCCTGCTCGAGATGGTAGGGTCCGCCCGGGGGAACCTGAAGACCGTGTGATGGAAGAGCCGGTTGATTGCTGCGAGCGTATGACATGAAGTTGGGCAGTGTTCTCGTGATTGGAGCAATCGGGGAATCAGGCTGTGTTTGAGTCGGAATGTGCATGTTGGGCGGCGACAAGGGCGACGTGTGCGACGGCAGAGGAGCCGGATACGGTCGATCTGGTGGTTGGTTGGTTGTGTGGGTCTCTTCTTCCCGCATCGTGTACTGATCTTGCTCGGTGCTGGCTTCATCTGGCCGGCGTTGGCCTCGGTAATAGTCCTCCGTGTCCTCTTCGCTCTCGGGCTCACGTTCCGACGATCCATGGTGCTCAGAGTCCGGATAGTATTCTCTATTCGAGTTCGGCCCTCGAGCCTCCTCCTCCGCCTCGTTGCTTGCCGACTGATCATAGCCGCCATCTTCAATGTCACTTTCAGGCTCAGATTCACGATCCGATTCACCCTCGGAATCGTCTTCCGGCGAAAGTGTCGTCAACATTTGATGACGCAAAATCTGTCTCGAACTGCCGGAATTCGGCATCTGCGCGTCCGGAGGCAGCCGAGCCGAATAGCTCAGATTGTTGGCAGATGCTGACGGCTCTACAGCTTCTTGGTACCTCGAGGCACGATTCGGCTGTCGTGACGAGTCACCGGAACTAAGCATGGAGTGAGTGTTATTGTTGCTATGGCTACTGCTGCTGCTGGCACTACTTTGGCTCAGACCGACTGTGAGAGGTGGCATGGTGGTGGGATATCGTGGTGGTGCAGGTGGTTGTCCGGACAGCATTGGTAGGGAGATGGACAATGGTGAAGGATACGGTAGTCGAACCGGTTGTAATGGGCGTCTACCGAGGCTGGTGGGATCAACTGAAGAGGGGCCCGGCAACCAGGGACTGGTATGTTGTCGTCGAGGGTCGAAGAGGAAATGATGAGTGGCGTTTAAGCTGCTGGCGACAGGTCTTGTTTGTGTGATCTGGCCGTTGGAGGCGGGAGGCGGTGATCTGGTTGCCGAGGCCAAGGAGCCAGAAGAGACCGACGATGCTGACGGTCGTGAAGGTGGCGTCAGTCGGTTGGCAACACCGGCGATTTGATGATAATTGGGTAGAAGAGCTCCTCTGAATGGGCCTCTGACAGGCCCGGATGGGTACATCATTTGACCAGCTGACAGACGTGACATTTGACTGACCC